CCTGTGCCTCATAGTTTAGTTTTGTATTTTTGGCATTCCAGCAATAAAGCTGCTTTTAAGTTAAGTTTTCTGAGAGTCTGCACTTTTGGGTCCAATCGACTCTTCCCTTTTCACACCGCCTCATTTGACACAAATATATATTTTAAAATTCTTTAAATTCTTTAAAATTGTGAATATTAAATATATTAGCGAGCAACCCAGACATTCAGGCTCAGCTTGTGGTCAAATGTCAGACATTTATCCTGCAATTTGTGAACCTAGTTACAGTAATAAAAAATAACTAAGTGACAAAGATTCTGCTCATGTTACTGATGATTAGAGAGTGTAGTTGAGTATTTCAAGCAATCAGAAAACATTTGAAAATTACAGAAAAATGAATTAAGAAGGGAGGGACAAGAAGTTATACACGATTTTAAAGGTTTTATTAAAACATTAAAAATGCTATATATTTACTTGGGACTTTGCTAACAGCTAGGACAGCAAGATAAGAAGGCAATGCTTCATATCAGGATGCAGTGATTTCTGATCAGTTATCAGCCAATAATGAGGTTACATTTAGACCACAAATGCCACAGTCTACTCCAAATACATCTTCACCGCTTGGCTGATCTCATCATCATTTGACTTGTTTATATTTTTTACTTCACTTGCCTTAATCATCAGTCCTCTTCATCTTTAGAGAGATCTGAAGCTACAATAGAAAGTGTTGTGCATGGTTTACACAAATCTAAGCTTTGATTTGTGCTGAAACAAAAGGGTTGTGTACTTGTACTTGTTTACAGATGAAAACTGATTGAGAGGGAATATTGTGGCAGAGCATTTGGATTGAATGTTTCTGGAAATGTTACATTCATATCAATAAAAGTGGTCCAAGTTATACATATCAATGTTGGGCCAAAGACGAAACTCCAAAGAAAACCTGACGTATTCCACTATTTTCAGAATGGAAACAAGAATGGAATAATCAGTTTTAATCACATTTCGACACATTTCTGATCTTCTGAATATGATTCCTTTAAAAATCAGTTTTACAAAAAGGCAAACCATAATGCATATGTTTTGTAATGTACTGATTTGTAAAATGTTGCTGGTTTGCCTGATCTCCTCTCCTGATGCAGCAACATTGAAACAGGGAATGTAAAAAAAGTTCATAGACATGGTATTTTGAGTTTTTCTCATCAGTAAAAAGGCAACCAGATGTCAACAAATGTACAAACCCGACTCAAGGACAAAACATTCATTTTTGAGACTATAACAATTTCAACAAAAAAAAACAACATTTTTTAAGAACTGTACATCAGAAGTGTTGAAAATGTAAGTCTCACTTAGCAATTTCTTGAAACTGGTAAAGGTTACATTTGATCTGTTTGATTGTGAGGCCAAGCTGAGTTAAGTTGTGATTATACATTTTCGAATTTTTCCTCAAATCAAAATAATAACTGACATGCCCCTAAAAAAAGGTATCTATCTATCTATCTATCTATCTATCTATCTATCTATCTATCTATCTATCTATCTATCTATCTATCTATCTATCTATCTATCTATCTA